AGACCATATATAGTGAACCCACTGGGCCGAGTTTAGCAAATTCATAGCATCCACAGACATCAAGTTAGTAATCTGACCCATCGTCATTGATCCGCCAGTCATTGTCCAAGTAGAAAGCTTCAGGGCTTTATCATACACGCTGGTCTACAACAAAAGAAAACAAAAAAAACAAAAAAAAAACAAATAATTAAAATTTATTCATTTAATAAATTATGAATAGGCCTAACTATGATTAAAATATAACTATATATGACTAATATAAACTTAAAATTTAAAGCTTGATTTAAATATATAATTTATGATTATGAATTTAACATCAACTATAAAATTATAAATTTACATAACAATAGAAATAGAAAATTATAAATTTACATAACAATGCATTTTTAAAATTTTAAAAATGATAGTAATAATATAACTATAGTAAAATAATAGATATTATTTAAATATAAAAAAAGCAGCTGATGATGGTAATGATGATGTTTACTAATGATGAATATGATGACTAAGATGACACAATAATATTAAAAATAATAGCTTGATTCAAATAATATAATTTATGATTATAAATTTAACATCAATTATAAAATTATAAATTTACATAACAATGCATTGTTAAAATTTAAAAAATGATAGTTATGGTGATACCTGTATAATAATGATGTTTATGAATGACGATGATGACAATTTAATGAAGATGATAGGCAATATAATAAATAGTAAAAAAAAACCAATAAATAATACTTAATAAAAAATTTAAAAAAAGTATATTTTAATATATTTTACAAAGTTAAACTACCTGAAGAGCTGCTCGTAGATGAATGCTTTCAATAATGACAATCTGGTAATGAGACTGCAAACACAGAGACCTCAGAACAGCGGCAAAAAATATAACAGCAAGGAGTATATAGCCATTGTGAAGAAACACTTCAACGGTCACATATTGGTCATCCTAAAAAAAAAATTAATAAAAAATGTATTATTTTGTATGGTGTATCTCTACTTACTGTTTTAAAATACAAAAAGAAAATCTTCTTTCTGACAATGGTGTCAATAGAAAGATTAACCTCATTTGGTGTTGAATTACTATTATTTTTTTTATATTACAATTTTTTATTTTATTTATTTATATTTATTTTTTTTTCACATTCCCTTTTTCTTCCAATGATCATGGTTTTCCAGCAAGCTTTTATAAATTATTTATATATTTTTTTTCCATAAATATTTTTCAGTCTCAGATCAATGTTTTAGTCTCTTGCATCGGCTATATTTATCCTTGTACAAGCTTGTAATTTCATGCCTGTACTATAACACTCTATGCCTGTCACTAAAAAATGTTTGTCCTAATGTATTGTGTCGAATGGTAGAAGCACCGTTGGTTCGAGCAGCCGTTGGTGGAACTAGTAGAATACGGACCATAACCCTTGGGCTCAGTGAACTAATTGGTTCATCTTATGTGCATTATACAGAACCCAATACATTTATTGATACAAGTATTAAGAGGGCTACCCTGCTTATACAGTCCCTGTTGTCAGGGATATACTGTACGTATGATGGGTGGTGGTGGGTGGGGGCCACCTAGCTTTGAAGTTTTACACCCAGTCTCTAGTTTATAGGGTACTGTAGCTCAAAAACGAAGAGACTCTTAAGGGTGGAGCAAGTTACAGTACGAGCTAGTCCACGCTTCAAGCGCTTTTTGGTGTAAAGTGTGACTTCGGTGACGAACAAAAACATGATAAGCATAAAAATATTTCTTATGCTTATTTACATCATCTTGGGTCTATTTGTTAAAATATAACTTTTTTTAATTATGCATATTTGGCTATGTGTATGATTGTACACATTGTGACGTGTGATGACATAACTACTGCCTTTTAAAGGTAAAATTGTACACATTAACAACAACAGAATACTGTGTAAATCAAAAAACTTTTCCCTCTTTTTCGAGTCAAACTGTGTGCACAAACTGTGTACACATAAATTTTGTAAAAATTCTCTACCCAAAGTTTCTACAGCATTATATCAAATATAGTGATCTGCGTATTGGGTCAATTACAATAACTTTAATATTAACAAGTTTACAAGAGCATTAGGCTTTTTCATATCAAATATTGATGAGATATGGCTGCTCTAACACATCCTTGCTTGTGGGCGTTACCACCTTGGATTGTGCAATTCAGCTAAAAACCATGCAAGGGCGCACTTGATTGACATTTTGTTGGGAGTTTAATGTACAGTAAATGTGTACGAAATGTACACCTTGTGTCTGTATGCCTGAATGGCCTTCCACTTGTTTAGGGATTGTCATAGAACTTCTTGTGTAAAACTCTACACAATATGACCGAAGGGGAAAAAATCTAAACTAAATTACAATAACAATTAACTATAAATTAATACTTAAAAAAGATATTTTAAAGAAATAAATGTTAAATTATCATAAAGAAATATTATACATACCTCTTCTGGTTTTGGTTCTAAACCACTGACATACTCAAGAAGATATTTAAGTGCCACTGGTCCGACAAAGCTCAAACAGTCGCCACAGAATTTAAGACACCCAGCTAGCATCATCTTGAACCCATACACATTAAAGAATACACGGTACAAGTTAATGGAGACACCCTTTGCCAGTGCACGCTCCTATATAACAACAAAAGAAATATTTTTCACGTTTTCTTTTAAAAAGACAAATAAACGAAGTTATAAATTATCTTCTTGTGCCTTACAAATTCCTTTTTACCTACCATCATCAATAGTCACTATGCAGTAGCAAAAGAGCATTTATTAGAGCAAAATTTGAACCACCATCAAGTAATAATAATAGTGTAGTTTTATACAGCGCACATATCCATCTAATGTAAGATGTTCAGGGCGCTTGATATGTGGATTAGGAACTCAATCAATGACTTTCTTTGCCCCTAAGGGTCCCTTCGTGTCTGTGCTACCCAGTAACCCGGTACCAGCAACTCTTGATGTCCACCACAGGGGCTGTCTGTTCCAGCACACCGGGGTATCCCCTACTCGTCTCAATGAATGTACTGGGTTCTTTATAGTGAACACGAGCCATTATATACACTGGGCCTACAGTTTATAGTCCTTATCCGAGAAGACTTGTTCTATCACCAGAACCATAGGCGAGCATGTTGTTCGAACCAGCGCCGATATTATGGCTATAGCTTGCGGCGCTCGTGCTAACTGGTCGGCCATTCGACTCACCATGTCTTCATTTCAGGTAAACAACGATGTTTAAGCCGGGTGCTCACTCACCCAACAGTCGTTGGTCGACGCGATTCTATGAAGAATGCAACGCGACAAAGCGTGTGCAATGGATCACGTCGTCTGCATTCACAACGAGCAGGGTTGAAATGAGTGCCCGGCTTCAAACTTGTTGCTTTGTTTTGTCTAGTGCTATAGTTCTTAAAAAATCTTTAGGGCAATAATGAATAATTAAAATCATTTTGAATACTAAATTATTTTTGTATAATATCATATTGTATTACACATCTATTTATATTTTTAATTATTTATTAATTTACTTTCATGTCTGAATTCATTATAGAAATTAAATGGTATTATCAGGGTGTTTGCTTCCATAGTGAACAAGAAGTCAAACACTTTGTTAATAAAGGTGCGAAGTTTATAGACATTTTGAATGCATTCACATTATTAAATACCGGTCATTTTATCAAAATGACTACTGAATGGTAATGGTAACAGATGTATACTTATAAAACACATATGACTAGGTTGCTATGCGTTTTCAACAACTGTCCAAAAGAAGTTAAATAAAAGAAACATATAAGATGGAGAAGAGACAAAGGAAAAAGAAAAAGAAAAAAAAAACAATCAACAAAAAGAAAAACAAATAGATGGATGAGGAAAATGAGCTTAGTGTCTGGCCTTATAGGGAAATGGATGGAAATTCACATATTAATAGGAAGAGAGTTACAGAGTCTAGGATCAGCGACCTAATAATAATGAGCAGGATGTGTAGAAGAACTGGAGGTGGACTAAAGTGAGCGACAGCAGGTTTAGGACCGTAACTGAATAATAAGATCAGAAATATAGGAAGGGACATGACAATGTAGAGTTTTATAAATGAAAAAAAATATTTTGTAGGATTTTTTTTGTTTTTCGTGGCAAGAAGCCAGTCAAGAGAGAGAACAACAGGAGTCCAACAACACAACTACTTTGATGTATTTTAAAAATATTCAACCCCTTAACGACCCCGGCCCGTCCCATTTGGGGACTGGGATGAAAGAGGACATTCTTGATTAAATATCTGAGGGTACTCTAACATTCTAGTTTAGTTCCGGTGACTTGAACAAACAAATGGAAACACAGTAGTAACTCCTTGGTAAGTTCTGTACTGTACTCAGCGACCGAGGTTCCAACAATGCATATTTTGATATTACACATTCTACCCCTTGGACCACTGCTTGGCCCATTCGGATCCTAAGTTAAAAGAGGGCATGTTGGTATCTGTGGGTTTTAGCCAGTGAGAGCTAGGTATTTGGCAGTATTGTTATTAATTTTTATTACTACTATTATTATTACTTTAATATTACTATTATTATTATTAACTATAATTGTTATTATTATTATTATTATTATTATTATTATTATTATTATTATTATTATTATTATTATAGGCAATTAGGAAGAAAAGCAAATTGGTTCTTACTGTACATGATGCAAGTCAATAAAGATATTTTTGATCACATATTTTTATATACCGTATCTGTTTTATTTCTTAGTTGTTTTTCTTAGTTCTTGTCTTGCTTTGAAAACATTAAATTAACAATATCGTTTAAACCATTAATGGGGATACGACTTAAAGCTAATTAGGCGAGTCCAATTAGCATATAGTCTCTTCCACAAATCAAATCATTTGTATACCATTGAAATAAACATTGAACACTGAACCACTGAACTATTGTGTTTTACCTATAATACACTGCTGTAGTTTGTAAAAATATCTCACCCCTGACCTGTTGACCTATTTGTATAATGTAGGTCAGGTATTTGATTTGAGGAAAGACTAAAGCTTTTAATGTACTTGAGATTGGAAATCTGTATTCAATTGTATTCTATACTGTATTGTGTTTCGTATAATAAACACTACATGTTTATCAGTATATTAAATTGTTTGCCAATTAATCAATCAATCAACCAATCAATCTATCAAATTTAAGCACATTTTACAAGACCTCTGTACAAAGATTTTTTTTTTTTTTGCTTTGGTGATGATGATGTGATATTACTATTATTTATGAAATCATTTAAATTTGTCATAATTTTTTAAGAGGAACAAAGAACAGATATTTGGCCTGCCTATCCTTAAATTTTATATTTGTATTGAGTATGAATTTTCAGCAATTTATATAATTAAGCTCCACAGAAAAAAACAACAAAGACAAAGAAAGAGGGAGGCGGTGTGTGGGGGCGGGGGAGGCAAAAAATTGCACAAAAACTACTAACACCGGAAATGGTGTGCCCACCCAAATAGAACTTCCAAAACATTCGACAAGTATAAAAATAGTTATGAAAATAGACACAAGATTATTATTATTATTATTATTATTATTATTATTATCAAATATCGGCCAAACTAATAATTAAGAAAAATATAAAAAAAATTATTTCAATTATTGCCCAAAGCAATTTTTTTTTAAATCACTATCAAATTTAAGCTTAACAAATTAACCACAATTATAATAAAAAAAATTATTATACTTTACTATTTATATTGTTATTTTTTAATTTATTTAATTAAAAAAGCATATTAGGCCTAAATTTTAAAAGTTTAAGAAGTAAAAAGCAAACAAAATAGTAAAAAAATCAATCTATTTGATATCAATTTAAGAAAGTGTATTGTATTAAACCACGGAGTGGATAAACCAATGTTTATTATCCCATAACACAAGTACCAACAATAATTCGCATTTTAAAGAAAGACCTCCATTGCTTTATTATCTAAAACCACTCACCCGTTCTTTCTCTAAAGCCTCTTCAAAGAGCATGCGGTTTTGGCGGGCTTTGTGAGAGCTAGACAGTACTCCTAGATCTTTGAGCTCAATGGGCTCTTTGTAGCCTTTCCTAAACAACCAGTTCAGCCACCAGTAGGTCGCCGATGACATAAGATTGCAGTAGCCTTGCATGAAGAACATATTTTCTTTCTTAAGATCATCTGGCAACTCATCGTCGTTGGAGGAACAGACTAGAGCCTGCCAAAAAAAAACATATATATATTGATGTTAGGTAACCATGCTGGTTGTAAATAATAGCACTTTCCAGGCTATGAAACTAAAATATTGCTGTAACTGTATTATCGATAATACCGTTGTACACTGTAAACCACGCACAATGGATGTAAACTTTAAAAAACGAGCAGCAACAACGAATAACTATGAATCCTAGCTCACATTGTCTGAGAAAGTCATGTTCATAACATCTACGGAAGTTCACATTTTGCTTGTCTTATTATCAATAAAACAGTTCACAGCAAACCAGATGACTACTATTCAAATATTTATTAAGTTTTCACAGTCACATAAAAGCTCCCAAATTTTAAATAAAGTTTGTCAAGCTTTTATTAAGTACTTAATAATACACATTCATTCAAATCAAATATTAAAGGCAACAGAAATTCTTTATTCACAACTGCATCCTTTACACAGCTGGATTGCACACTTTAAAATAAATGTGATATAAACTGAAAACAATTTTTAGCATTTTTAATATTTACGGTACAATACATATCCCAGGTAACAATCCCACATGGGGCCCATATGCAAAATATCTGGGAAAAGTCTTATGGGCTACCCCATATTTTTCCCTTATGGGATCCGTCTGGGCAATCACATATGGGGCTTGCCCATGGTTTACCCATATGGAGCCCATATGCCAAATATATAGGCAAATATAAAT